GGACCCAGAGCAGTGAAGAGACCACCTTGAGGAAAAGAATCAAGACAAGAGCACAGCTCTGCTGGCTTGGGCCTGCTGATTCACTCATTTAGCATGTTTTACTGAGCACCTACTATGTGCCTGTGATTGGCCTGGAAGCCAGAGACAACCCAGTGAGAAGCTGCTCCTCTGGGAGCGGCCACCGTTAAGCCTCTTTTCCTGCACCTCGAGCTGCAGCCAAGTGGACGCAGGGTCAGAAGGGGATACAGGGTGGGGGAGCAGAGGCCCTGCAGCCCCGGCGTCCTTGGGGGATCTGCAGGCTGCTCTGCACCACCCCCAACACACACCAGCGCTGCTGGAAGACACCGTGTGATTTATTCCCGGCCCTGTTCTGCGCAGGGCTGCACGGCGGAGCGACAGGGCCATTCATCTTGCTGGCGGCTTCTGATAAAAACGGCGTCCAGGGCCGGGACTTGGAGGCCGGGAGGAAGCGAGCTGTGATCAGTGGGGTCCTCTGCTGACCCCGACCTGACCCGACCCTGGCAGGTCCTGGCGAAAGGGGTGCTGCGCTGAGGTCTGCTCTGCCTGTCCTTGGGTGGAGCCCAGGCAGCTGCACATCCTCCCCTGGACCTGGACTGGAGACCCAGTAACCACCAAGCCTGACCTCGCGGCCCAAACAGCCCAGGGCCACCTCTCCTGAGCCCGCCGGGGCCTGTGCCGGCTTCGTCCCTGCCCCGTCCCTGCACTTCTCCCCGGGACGCAGGTGGACAGAGTGTCCACCACACAGGACATCACCGGTGTGGCACGTTTGCACCTTTGTGGGGTTTTTTTGTTTTCTTTTCAGCGCTGTGGATGGAACCAGGGTCTCGAGCTTGTTAGGCCAGTGCCTGCCATTGAACTATACTCCAGCGTTTTGTTATTTTTTTGCTTTGAGAGAGGGTCCCTCTACGTTGGCCAGGCTGCCCTTGAGCTTGTGATCCTCCTGCCTCAGCCTCCCAGAGTGCTGGAACTGATGTTCCTTCTGATCGCACCTGGTTGCGCCTGGCTCCTGGCAGGGGCAGGGTGGACAAGAAGTCCTGGCCCAAGAGGTTGGCGGCCAGGCCGGAAGTGGTCTTGTTTAGCACGCAGTGGAGCTCTGTGCAGCCGGGGACAGCTGGCGCTTTGCTCCACCCCACTGGGACCCGGTTCCACCACCCTGGACGGACGCCTTGCCGGCAGGTGGCAACACACGGGGACAGACCGCATGTCTCACTCCGAGCGACTGGTGGTCCCCCGGCAGCGCGGGGCGGGATGCCAGGCTCCCCTCCGCAGAGCACAGGCCTGGTTCTGGGGTTGGAGGAGGAGCGGGCTGGCCCTGGGGGTGGCCGGTGCCAGGCCTGTGACCTCCTTTCCCACTGGTAGATGACAGGGTGGGCGCTGTGCAGGGGGCACCTATGCCAGGCAGGCCCAGCACAGGAGCGGGGCCTGTCTCTCTGGGACGGTCACCCGGGAGCTGCGACCGGGACCTCGTGACCCCGTGTGCAGGGCTGCAGTGCTGTGACCCGGACGGTCTCTGCCCTCCGTGGAGAAGGGCAGGGAAGCAGCTCTCGGGCCACAGGGGAAGAGAGAAGGCTCCCTTTTCACCAGGGACCTCGCTGGGCGTGGAGACAGGGCTCAGAGAGGCCGCAGGGCCGGGCCGGGCCGGGCTGGGGTGGGGCAGTGTCGCCACACACTTCCGCCTGGCTGAGTTTGGACGCAGCAGGGAGGAGGGGTGGAGAGAAGGTCTTGGTGCCCTGGCGCTGGCTGGCTGTGCTGTAGGATGCCAGCCCTTCTAGAAAGTTCCACAGCCCCATTCCTGAGAACATTCTAGAAAGCTCTGGGAAGCCTCCTGGAGGTGCTTACCTAGGCATATCCCAGAAGCAGCATCCTTGCTTTTACCAAGTGGTCACCTGTCCCTTCCTACCCTGGCCAGTGGGGCCGCCCGGTGAGTGACTCCAGGCCACTCCTGTGGGTGTCCAGCTCCTGCCCACCTCTGCCTGCAGTCACAGTGCAGGCAGGGCCTTTGCAGCTGGCTTTCTTCAAGGTCCATCAGCTGGTGGCATTTTTCAGGACTGTTCCTTTTTCTGGCTGCATAATACTCCCGTATGTGAACAAAACACATCAGGTTCGTTTTCTGTCAATGGACAGACATTTGGATCATTCCTACCTTTGGCATTCACAAGGCCACGGTGACCACATGCCCACAAGGCCCCGTGCGGATACAGCCGCGTTTCCCTCAGGCCGCTGATGAGGGGGCAGCTCATTTTGCTCAAAGAAGCAACACTGCTGTGGGTTGCAGTCACTGGGGTCAGACTGGGGGAAAATCTAGTCCCAGGAGTCCCGAGACGTGGGGCTCCCTGTAGAGTGGAAGCCGGCTCCAGCCCAGCAGTGTGTCCCCAGGGTGGCGGTTCTCGAAGTTGCTCCTCGGGGCAGCAGCAGCAGCCCCTGGGGACCTGTCCACGTGCAGGCCTTGGGCTCCGCCCGCTCGCTGTGCCTCACACCCAGGCTGGCCCTGGCCGCTGACACCTGCCTGCAGGGCTGACACCGGTGCTGAAGGAAGCAGGAAGCAAGCGCAGGAACTGAGGCTGTGGATCTGCGCCGAGCATGGGGCGCACCCCTGTGATCCCAGCGGTCTGGGAAGCTGAGGCAGGAGGATCACAAGCTCCAGTCCTAGCGGCAATGTAGTGACTCAGTGGGACCCTGTCCCAAAATTTAAAAAAAAAAATTTAAAAATGGCTATGGAAAGCTCAGTGCAAAGGCCCGGGGTTCAAAAGGGTAAAAAGAGATGAATAAATAAACCTGTAAAGCAAAAACAGAGCAGGTCCCCATGCACCCCGGGGGGCGGCGCTCAAGAACTTCATGTACCTGAGGTGGTTAACAAACCGCCATGGCCAAGTTTGCTCCTAGCGGAGAGAGCGGGACCCTGCGGCCACAGACGCCCTGTCCCCGCCGGCCCAGGGGAGGGGGAGCAGCAGCTGCTGGGTCCGGGTCTGGGTCCACTCCTGAGGCCTCGGCTCCCATCACGCAGGAGCCTGGCTCCCACGTGCAGGCCTCTCCCACACCTGCCCTGACTGTCTGTCCAAGTCCCGGTTCAGTCCCCCCAGAGATGCGGTCCCAGGGCCCGAGAAAGGCAGCGCTGCCCAGGACGCACAGCAGAGGCGGGGCTGCCCGCACCTCCTCCGGACGCCCACAGCCGCCGCGTGCTGATCCTTCTCGGAGGCCCTCAGCCCCTGCAGGCAGAGCCGAAAGCCCGACTTCCTGTGCAGCCCTCTCTCCCTGCCCCCCACAGAGGTTCCGGGGCTCCTGCACAGGGCCCAGTGTCCCCGCTGCTGCCCGCTGTCTGGGACAGGGACCCCCTGCCACCAAGCCTCAGCCAGGAGGCCGGCCCGGGGAGGACAGGCGGTGACAGCTACGCGCCGCGCGTGGGGAGCGCTCCGAGGGCTCGGTCACCCGTGGCCCCTCCTGGGTCACCGACCTCCCCACCTCGCGCTCAGGACTCTCGCACCGAGGGTCCCTGCCTTCCCACTGGGCGAGCCCCGCAGGGCCGGCCGTGGCCCTGGGCTCCTGCGCATTGTCGTGGCTCAGCCAGCCGGGCAGAGGCGCAAGTCCTGCCCTGCCAGGCCCAGGAATGTCACAGCGTCGCCGCAGAGAAGCGCGGAGGGCAGGCTCCGCGAAGCTGCGACGCCCTGACGGATAGAAAACAGATTGTGCTTCCCGCGCTGCCACCCCCGCGGGGCGGGGCGGGGCCGGAACCCGATTACCGCTCCCAATGGAGGCTCTATCGTGCCTGGGCAAGGTCAGGGCAGGATGGCCCGGATGCCGCGTCCCTGCCACCGAGGCCTGGCCCTCCCCGCAGGGTCCCCTCTCCAGGCAGCCGTGACCGGCTCTCTGTCAAGAACCTTGGGCCAGCCAGGCGTGGTGGCTGTGACGCACGCCTGTAGTCCCTGCACTCTGGGAGGCTGAGGCAGGAGGATGGAAAGTTCAAACCCAGGCTGGGCCACTTAGCAACCTTGTCTCAGAGTGTACAGAAAGGTGTCAGGCTGTAGCTCAGTGAAGGGACCCTGGCTCCAGGAAGGGTTTCATTCATTTATTCATTCAGGCATTCAGGCATTCCCGCCAGCCTCCCCTGTGGACCTCTTGTGAATGATCGAAAAGCTCCTGCGGCCGAGCAGCCCGGGCCCTCGGAGATACATGGTTCCTTCACCAGGCACCTGTGAAAGCACCTACTGTGCGCCGGCGATATGTAGGGTCCACTAAATGTAAGGTCCTCTGGGGCAGGGGCTGCACACAGACCCCGCTCTGTGCAGGTTTCTAGCTTGGGGCGCGTCCTGATCCTGACCCGGGTCAGGCTTGGACACACGAGTGTGACTGGCTTTTCCTCCAGGGTCTCCGTGCTCAGCTGTAAGAGATGTGCAAAGGGACCTGAGCTACAGCAGTCTGTCTGCAGGGCACAACTGTGCGTCCCTAGGGCACCATGTCTGCTCTTCCTCGTTGTCGCCAGAGGTTCAACTCATTCCTCTGAGCGGCTGTGGTCAGGTAGGGCTGGCCCCGCCCACCCACAGGAGCACATGACCCAGCCTGGCCAATCAGATCATCCACCTCTGATCATCTGCCAGTCGGGTGGAGCACATGACTAAGGCTGGCCAATCAGATCATGGTACTCTGGGGTGGTCGTAGGATCCAGGCAGGGCTCACTGAAGTTTGGGAACCCCTGAAGGTCAGAGCCTCCTTTTGCTGGTGCTGGCGAGTAGATGGATGTGGCCTTGGACTGCTGGTCCAACTTCCTGAGAACAAGACAGCCCAGGGGAAGTGAAGGGGCAAAGTCCTGCTGGTGCGATGCGCGCCGCTGAATCGACCTGTTCCTGAAGCTCGCTCGCCCGGGCTTGGTGACGTGAGTTAGTAAGTGCTCTGTTGCCTGAGCCGGTTTGAATCGGGATGCTCATCACTGCGGCGAGAGCCTTGAGTGATGAGCGCACCTTTCCTCTCCTTCCGAAGGCCAGGCAGCGTTACATCCCCGCCTTCTGGAAAGCTGCGGAGGACTGAACAGGAAGGGCCGCGCCCCGGCCCGGCTCTTTGGCGCGAGGACACTGTCCTGCTGGCCCCGACCGGCGTCGTGTGCCGTCCAGAGCCACTGCGGAGTCGCCGTCGTGTGCCTGCCTCCTCTCTGCTGATTCCACCCTGGGCCACCAGCGTGTGGCGGCGGGAGGTGTGCTGTGCCGCCCCGCAGCGTCCGCCGTCTGTGGTGGGCACACAGCGGCTTGGCCTCTCGTTCCTCTCAGAGCTGCCGGGGCCGGGGCACCTGGTGACAGCGCCTGTGGGCCTCGCACTGCCTGGCAGGCACCTGTGCCTTTCGATGTTTTCTGTCTGGGGAGGAGCAGGGCGGGGCCTCTTTTCTAGGTCTTGGTCGCTGTCACGGACCCTGTGCTGGCGGTGGGTGGAGGCCAGCAGCCACACACCAGCCTCCCCATCGGCCTCTTGGGCTTCCTGGCCTCCTTCACCTCTTGCCGAGGGGCCTTTGCACCTGCAGAGCCCGCGGTCACCAGGAGGCCCTCAGATGCCAGCTGGGCCGTCCTCATCCCTCACAGCCCCCACCCTGGCGTTCTGCAGCACGGAGCCATGAATCGCTGCTGGGTGCAGTGGCTGAGGCCTGTCGTCCTGACACTCTGGGAGGCTGAGGCAGGAGGACTGCAAGTTCTAGCTCAGCCTGGCCAGCTTAGTCAGACCCTGTCTCACACAAGTAAAGATCTGCGGGTGCAGCTCCGCTCAAAGGCCTGGGTTCCATCCTCAGCAGTGCAGTAAGAAAGGAGCCGCTGCCTTCACGGACAGCACCCTTCCCTCCCTCCCTCCACGCCCAAGGCCCCATCCCTCCAGCCTTGTCCCTGTCCCCCGCCTGCAAGGTCAGAGTGCTGGGCAGCGTCCCCGCCCAGGGGTCCTGGCCACCCATTCCCACCTGCCCTGAGGGACACTTGGGGCTTAGGGACAGGCCAGCCAGCACCTGAGGGTGCAGAGGCGGGGACAGGAGGTGGGTGTCGCTGTGTCTCCCGGCCCGGTCTCTGCATGCGGGTCTCAATCTCACCTCCACCCGTGCCCCACGCCCCACAGCAACTGCTCTCCCCAGCTCCGAGCGTGACTGTCTGGGTGCAGAGGACACTCACGGGGCTGTGCAGCCCTCCCGCCATGGGGCGCTGGGGTTTGATGCTGCCCAACGGCAGCCGCATCACTATGGAGCAAGATACTGGGAGGCCCTCCCCCACCGGTCCCTTACCTACTTCCTGTGTGTGTCTGGACCCCTAGCAGCCTCCAGGCCCCAGAGAGGGAGGTGGGCCCTCTGCTGGAGGACCCCCAAAGTCCTGTGCAAAGGCCCTGTGGCCAGAGTGGAGCTTGCCAGGGCTGAGAAGGCCAGCATGCCCCTGTGGTGCTGCCCACCCTGCCAGGCATCGGGGCCTCCCATTGGCTATCCTCAGTGGGTGCTGGATGATTGACAGCCCCAGCCAGGCCAGGCGGGACTCACGCCTGCAGTGACCAGTGCTGCACGGGGCCTGGCTGCCCCTTCCCTGCACGTCACTCACGGGTGACCTAACAGGGCCTTGGAGACTTCTGAGGGTGACTTTGTTTTTCTCTCTCCAGCAGGAAGGCTGTGGGTGACCTCACAGGGCAGACAGCGGCTTAGACCAAGCAGCGATGGGAGTGACCGGCCACCAGGGCCGTGGGAGCCGGCTGAGGGCTCAGTGACCACCTGGCATGCAGGGCCACGTTAGCTGCTGCTGCTGGCTCCACTGTGGCCCTTTGGCTTGAGCAGTTATGTATCTACCAGAGTGGGCGGCAGAGGAAAAATGAAATCGCATGCTCACAGCGCTGTGCAACCTCACACCAGCTGCTCAGCCTCTCTGGGCCTCGGAGGGGGGAGCCACGGTCCATGTGTCCCTTGGCTTGCGGACAGTCCCTCCATGTCCGCCTCCAACGCAACAATGGTCACGTGGCATCCTCTCCAGTGCATCTCTGCCAACATTTCCCTCTTCTCTCTGGGAGGCTGAGGCAGGAGGATGGTAGGTTTGGGCCTAGCCTAGGCAATTTAGCGACTTCTCAAGGTCCTCTCTGCCTGTCATGTGCCAGCTGAGCCGCAGAGCCAGAAGCCCCTGGCGGGGACAGGTACCTGTCCTTCCTCTCGCTTTCCAGGCTCAGAGAGGGGCAGGGGCTGGGCCAAGGGTGCACAGCAAGTTGGTGGGACCCCTGGGGTGGGTGTAGGGCGGGTGGGAGATAAGACGGGCCGGGTAGGGACTGTGCGGGGAGGAAACCCAGGGCTTACCAGGAAGAGTCGCCAGGACGCAGTGGCCCCGAACCACCCGCGGGGAGACACAGGCTGGCCGTGCGTGGTGCACACGCCGTGCACTGCACAAGCACACGGAGCAGAGGCAACCGGGCAGATCCCGACCACGCTCAGCTTAGCTGCTCTGCAGCTCGTCCTAGGAGGAGCGCTGGCTCCTGTGGAGCCAGGGTCGGCGTGACCTCCACGTGTGGCAAGCTCAGACAGGCAGGGTGCTGCCTGCCACCCAAGGCACACGTGCCGGGGTCTCAGGGCTGGGACAGAGCGGCTTTGGGACTGACTCGGCCGCCGCATCCAGCAAGGGCCCCCGCGCGCCTCCCCGGCTGCGGTCTCTGGTGGCCAGGACTCCTGTCCTGTGCATGGGGCTCCCTCACTCCAGGCCCAGCCCAAGGTGGGCCCGACCGTCCCCTCTTCTCCCCATGAAGGTGGTCAGGGACCAAGTGGGCCCAGCACGGTGGTGCCTGACCCTGGGAGAGTGGCCCGGGCTCACGTGGAACCAGGGCTGGGAGAAGAGGCCACGCCACAGAAGGAAGCCAGGTGCCTCAGGTGGTTATCTGGCCTCCTCAGGAAGCCCCCGCCCAAGAGTGGAGCCCACATCTAAGCAGGCAGACTGAGGAGCAGAGAAAGAGCCCGTTCCTGCTGATTGTGAGTGCCTGGATCCAGCTGTTCCTGAAGCTGCATATCCCCGACCTGCTCAGGTACTGGGATGGTAGCTGTGGGCTTGAGCCTGCTCAGATGCACTTTGGGATTCTGTGCCCTGCTGGTCTCATCTCCTCTTCTCTGGTCTCAAACACCCAGCCCGGGACCCTGGAATGACCCATTCCCCGGGCAGGCCCCTCACGCCTCAGCCTCGCCTCCTGTCTTCTCTCCACGCCGTTCCCAGTCAGCCGCGCTGGCCCAGCCGGAGATACATCCTAATGTATACTTAACAGAGGCTCAAAATCGAATTAATTTAGATTGGTTAATAAACTGTAACATCCGTTTCTAAATCAAGCTACATTTTCCTCTTGAGCAACTGAATTCATGCCTGTTGGTTTAATTTGTTGCTATTGTAATCCTTTAACGCTGATGAAATTATGGAAAGGTTTCTAGTGAAATTACCCAGATTTGATTAGGGTTGAACGTATTAATATTGCTCCTTCCTGGGGCCGCCGTAGGCCAGGAGGCCGGGAGAGCCTGGATCATCCTGTCCCTCTTCAGAAAGCCCCTCCTGGGGTGTGCATTTATTTATGTACTTACTCTTTTTACTTTTTTTGAGACAGGGTTTGGCATGTAGTTCAGGCTGGCCTTGAACTCACTCTGTCGCCCAGGCTGGCCTCACTCATGGCGATCTTCCTGTCTCAGCCTACTGAGTGCTGCAATCACGGATGCGCACCACCACACCCAGCGGGTGCGTTTACTGAGTGCTGACTGTATGCACAGCCCGCAGGTCAGGGAGGCCCTGGCAGAATGGGCACAGGGTCAGGGGACTGCCTGGCAGCCACTGTGGGTACAGTCCCAGCACTCCTTGGGAGAGGAGACCTCAGGTCATCACGCGGCCCAGCGACCCCACTCCCAGACCCACCCGAGAAGCCCTTGCAGATGGCCCAGGCGGCACCAGTCCCAGGGACAGGCGTGTCCCCCACGGGCGGGTGGACACACAGCGCGGTGCTCACACATGGAATAGTCCTCAGGCTGGGGGAGGGGGGCAGCTGTGTGACAGGTCAGACGCCCAGGGGCACTGGCGGAAGGCTCCATGGGCATCGCAGAGGGAGATGGGGGCAGATGGACCCGCCGGTGGGGGTGGGGGGGGCGTGGTGGGGGGGATGAGAAGGGGACACAGGGCGGCCCTGGAAGCCAGAACTCTCTAAAGCTGTGAGCCAAATAAACCACTTCTTTCTTTGAATTGTGTTGTCAGGGATTTTGTCCCAGCCACAGGAAAAGTGGCCCATAACACATTTGCTGACTCATGAAACTGAACATTCCACAGAGCCCAGCTTCAGGTGCTGCTTGATCCAGTCGTTCCTTTATAGGAGCCTGACAGTTACTGGCTCCTCTGAGTCACATGTCCACCCAAGAGCCAATCATAAGCAGCCAGGGAGATGAGATGGCATGATTGGCCTACCCTGGTCACATGGCCATCCCAGGATGTGTTGGGGAGGAACAGTTCCTTCAGGGAAATTGACAAGGAGGCTGTCCCCATCGCAGAGGAGCTGTCAGTACAGCCTTGAGGGACAGGGGAGAGCAAAGCCCGGAGGGGGATTTCCCCGGGACGTCCGCGTGGCTCACTGCATTTAGGCCCCCAACCCTGGAGGTCTCAGCTCGATCATCCAGCAGGGCCTGTCTCCGAGTCAGAGCGCGCTGGCGGGTTCTGGGGACTGAACTTGCGTGACCCTGTATGGGCTGAACACGGCCTCCGATGCACTACGCAACCTGCACAGCTCCTAGTGTGGTCTAAGTGGGCCGCTAAAACCCACATTGCCCAAGGTGGCGGGGCTCGGGGATCACAGGGACATGGTGAGTGTTACGGTTTATACCTCGCTGTCCCCCAAGAGCCTCAAGTGCTCCTGGCTTCAGGAGGGGAACGGGTTACTGGGCTCAGAGAGGACTAGCGGTTGGGGGCGTGGCCGGGGCGGTCCGTGGGCGTGACCGGCGGTCCGTGGGCGTGGTCATCTCCCGGCCCCGCCCTCTCCCTGCTGCCTGTGCCCCACGCCGGGAGCCGCTCTCCTGCGCGGGGCCCTCTGCCACGCCTCCCTGCGGGCACTCACGGATCACGGGCTGAAACGTGAGCCGAAATAAACGAACCTCCCGTCCTCTAAGGGTGCCGGGTCGGGTGTTGTGTCCTCGTCGCAGGGAGGTCACTAAGCAGCGTGGAACTCGGGCCCGAGGGGCGCGTCCGTGCTGGACGCCTCGGGAAGCGCTGAGCCGCCCTGTGCTGCCGGAGACGGCTCGTGCCTGCTCATGCGCGTGTTGCTGGAACAAAAGTGTTTTCGCCCTGACATTCTTCCTGCGTCTCATCCTCCGCCTCTGGGGCTGAGTGTTGGTTCCGGGTAAAGGGCAGACTCTCGTCCAGGAAAGGAGGGCTTGGGGGCCCCGCGTCCCCTTCGATCTGGAAGTGCAGATGGGGTTGCTCAGAGGCAGCTGTCACTTTCCATAGCAGAGGGACCAGGACGCCAAGCGCGGAAGTTCTGCTCGATTCATGTTGGGGGTGAGGGACCTGGAAAAGCCAGGGCCGTGGGGAGGGGCAGAGCACTGATGCTCCCCGTGTGTCCTGCTTTGGCTTGTCCCGGACAGCTGTCCCCACCGTCACTGTCCCCACAGCCTGCCCGCCCCTCAGGAGGGCCGGGTCCCTGCTGCCTGTCAGCCCCAGAGCTCGGCTCTGCGTCCCTGATGCAGCCAGAGGTCAGCTTTATCGATCTCGTCAAGAGCAGTGATTCGGGAGCCACTGCGGTTCGGGGAGGACGCCGGAGCCGTCTCTGCGTCTGCGCCGGGCCCCCCGCTACCCC